GTATGGGCCCATAATTTGGGTCCCTTACTATATAACCCTTATCTACACTATATATAAACAGGGCCCATACTTCGGATCCCTATAAACAAGGTAAGGGAGCACGCTAAGGGTCCATGGTTCCGACCTTAGAGAGATTGAGGAGCTGAGCGGCTTAAACCCTGTTTAGGTTTTAGGGCTTCGGGTTCAGGGTTTAGGGGGCTTAGGGAAAAGGGGGTTGGGCGAACATTTTGGAATCTGAGATGACTCCAGCGCACGCTAAGCACGCACTCAGTGCCAGCCGCGCATGCGCCAGCAAGAGACAGTGCACAGCTTTCGCCAGCGGCACTTGGGGCCGCCGTCAGCGTACTTCTTCTGCACCGCCTTCGGGATGCGCTTGAGGAACGCCTTCCGCTCAGCAGCTGTCGCACGCTGTCACGTGCTGCACGCCGACTTCACCGACTTCTTGGGCTTCCGCCGTCGAGCGCCTCTCCGACGATGGCGCCCACATTGTCGGAGTCTTGTCCCTTATAGGGTCTTGGTGTTTAGGGTTTAGGGTTGGGATGTTCCCACTGAAACGGCAGTCCTTACTAGGGACTAGAATACCCAAAAGGCGAACATCCCCAGGTCTAAGGGTAAGCATAAGGGCCGTTTTGGAGCAGGGACGACCCAAGAAGGGATCACTAGCCCCTTAGGGACCTTGAGGGGCAAGCCCCAAAACCTCCAAAACCCCCAAACCGCAAAACCCCCAAAACCACCAAAACCCTCAACACCCTCAACCCCAAAAACACCCTAAACCCCCGAAACCCTAAACCCCCTACCCCCCCAAACCCCCCCCCAAAAAAAGAAAAACGCCGGAAACACCCCCAAACCCACCCGAACTCCAGACCCCCTCCCCCGATTGGCAGGTCCATGTAGGGGAAGCAGCCCACGTAGTGGCCTCGGCGTAAGGCTTAGGAATGAGGGTTTAGGGCTTACTTATGCTGATTACATATGCTGAAACCTAAACCCTAACTACCCTAAACCCGAACTACGCTAAACCTAAAACCCAAAACCCCTAACCCCTAACCCCTAGCCCCTAAAGCCTAAACCCTGATTCTTTTGCGGCTCTTGAGGATGCCCCGAGTTCGGGCTGGGAGTTTGTGGGGAGGCGTCAATGTCAGCCTTCAGCTGGAGGGTTCGTGGGTAGCTCTGACTTGCCTTTAGGGTTTAGGGTTTAGGGTTTAGGGTTTCGGGTTTCGGGTTTAGGGTTTGGGGTTTAGGGTAGAGGGCGTCTCGCCGCGCAGCGGCAGCAAGTACCATGTGGAAATGGCGCCCCTACACACCCAGGGGGTGTGGGGGGGCGGCATGTCACGCGAAGGCATTTATTTTCAATGCAATCCAACAATTTTCATTGGTGCTGGTTTCTTTCCGTCGCCCTCCATTCCACGATGGCTTCAGCAGGGCTAGAGGATCAGGGGGGCTGAGGGCGTTCAGCGTCACACGGACAGCGGGGGGGGGGGCAAGGAGGGTCAGCAGGGGGGTCAGGCGGGGGTACCCTCTCAGGGAAACATCCTCCGAAAAATCCGGCGCGGGCTTTAGGGTATTCTCATCAAGAGGAGGATCGTGGGGGTTCCCCTTGTAAGTATAAGGCACCACGTAAATGGTCCTAAAGCAAGGCACGGGCTGAATTCGACCACTCTTTGCTGGCTCCACCCATTGTCCATCCAGCAAAGGTGTGTCTGGGCTGCCGGGTGCAGTTCTGGCACCCTAGAAAAGGGTGGGTGCGGCCTAAGCAGGCCGGGTGGGAATTTAGGGTATAGGGTTTAGAGTATAGGGTTTAGGGTTCGGGGTTTAGGGTGCAGGGTTTAGGGTTTAGGGTTTAGGGGGATGCAACGAGTCTTTTGCGACGCTTGGGGTCGAGTGTGTAAGGCACCGTTGCACGCAATGACTAACTGAAATCTCTATATATATATATATATATATACATACATATATATATATATGTGTGAGTTTGTTGTTTCTTTGGTGTCCCCCCCTCCCAAAGACCTATGGTCTTTCTGGACCTTTGAGGAAGGGTGCTGTGCAAAAACTTGTTCCTGAGTCTCTGGGGCCCAGGAACCAAGAACCAAGAGTTCATGGGGCTTGCCTCTTGATTCTTGGCTCTCGGAGCCGTGGGTTTTAGAAATGTTCTAAAAAAGTTTAAAGATGAATATTTAACCCAGGGCCCCGGGAACCCAGAACCAAGAACCAAGAGTTCAGGGAGTCTTGGTTTGTGGTTCTTGGTTCCCGGGGCCCTGTTTAAAGGCTTAGGGAAGATTTATGCATGAAAGGTTGCGGGTTTAAGATTTAGACATTCCTGAGCCTTTAAACTCTAAAGGGTTCAGGCCTAGGGTTTAAGATTTAGGCATTTAAACCTAAGCCGGCAATTTAACCTAAACCCTTAACCTTTAAACCGTATAAGATTAAGGTTGACAGGTTTAAGGTTAAGATTTAGGCATGTAAACCTAAGCCCATAGAGTATAGACCTCATTAAGGTTTAGAAATTTACACCTTAAACCCTTTAGGGTCAGAACCCTAAAACCCTATAGCGCTCTAACAGGTTCAAAGGCTCTAGCCCTATAGGTGCTGAAGGTATACATTCCCAGACCTTAGGTTCGAACGCATAGAAAGTCTAGGAATGCACGTCTCAGGTTTAGGCATTTGAACAACCTTAAAACCCTATAGGTTTTAAGGTTTAGGGCTTTTCAGGGTTTACGGGTTAGCCCTATAGGCTTTAAACCCTGCCTGTAGAGTTTAAACCTTAAGGGTTTAAGGCTTAAAGGGCTTGAGGCTTAAACCCGTACCTGAAATCCCACAGGGTTACGCCTACGATTGTAATATGTAGGGCTTGCCTCCTGTGGGACTGTCGCCCTTGCCCTTGGAGCCCCTGTTTAGGGTTTAGGGTTTATAAGGTTTAGGGTTTAGGGTTTAGGGTTTAGGGTTTAGAGTTAAGGGTTTAGGGTCTTAGGTTTAGGCCCTTGAAGTCGGCGCATCATCCTCGGCTGTCCAAGGCCCCCTCGCGCAGCGAGCCGGTGTGTTGGGATGTTTCCCCTTACACTAACAGTCCTTAATAGGGATTCTAGTAGGGGGGGGGGGGGGTACTATAATCCCTACTAAGGACCCTAAACCCTGAACCCTGAACCCTAAACCCTGAACCCTGAACCCCAAAACACTGTCAGTCTAGGGGGGAAACATCCCAAGGGCTGTGTGACAGAGTGGTGGAGACTGGCTTCCTAAAGCTGGTCAGCAACCTTCCTGAAAAAGTTGCACCTTGGGGTAGGGTTTAGGGTTTAGGGTTTCGGGTTTGGGGTTTCGGGTTTCGGGTTTCGGGTTTCGGGTTTCGGGTTTAGGGTTTAGGGTTTAGGGTTTAGGGTTTAGGGTTTAGGGTTTAGGGTTTAGGGTTTAGGGTTTAGGGTTTAGGGTTTAGGGTTGAAACAATTTAGTAAGAGTCATTTCGACTATTCATCACCCAACCCCTTTTTGAATAAGCTCGTAGAGTGTAGAACCAAAACAAAAAAGTTCAGGTAAATTAAATCATGCAAAATCCAATGCCCTTTTTAAGAACCTCAATACAGAGTAGGACTCGATGATTTTGATTAAGGGTCATATCAAATTTTCATCGTATGCATTTAAACAACTTGGTTAGTTTGTTTATTAGTTTGTTTGTCAATTGGCTCCTCTTTCTCATATGTCCGGCACCCAGAAATCTCAAGCCTAACCCGTGTGCCCCCTAAACCCTAAACCCACTAAACCCTGAAACCTAAACCCTAAACCCCAAAACCCTAAACCCCAAACCCCAAACCCCAAACCCTAAACCCTAAACCCTCAACCCTCAACCCCAAACCCCAAACCCCAAACCCGAAACCCTCAACCCTAAACCCCAAACCCCAAACCCCAAACCCCAAACCCTAAACCCTAAGCAAGCATTCTTATTGGCCAGGGTGCACACAGCCGTGGCCGAGTCGATGCCGTGAGGTGGGCGGAGCACGTCCAGAAAGCGGGGCAGGAAGTGCTCCTGCCAGGGCGGTTTAGGGTTTAGGGTTTAGGGTTTAGGGTTTAGGGTTTAGGGTTTTGGGTTTTGGGTTTAGGGTTTAGGGTTTGGGGTTTGGGGTTTGGGGTTTAGGTTTTTACCCGAAGCCCTAAACCCAAAGCCCTAAACACTTTAAACCCCCTAAACCCCAAACCCTTCTAGAGCAAAACGAAGTTCGGGGTTCAGGGCTTATGGTCAAGCCTCTTGAAAGATAACGAAGCCGCAAGCCTCCCACCTGATAACAGCTCTCAGCACTCAACCCCGAAACCCCAGATAGTGAACCCGAAGTGTTCGGATGGATTCAGGGCTTGGCTCCCAAAGATCAACACCTCCTCTCGGGCCCCCCAATACCCAATTTGTGCTCCAATCTGGTATATCGCAAGACAGGAAAAGGAAAACTGAAATTAAGGACATCCAACACCTCAAGCCCGCAACCCTGAACTCTGAACCCTAAACCCTAAACCCTAAACCCTAAACCCCAAACCCTAACCTCTCTTTCTTAACGTACATAACCCTCAGTGGCCCCAGTGGGCGGCAAAATTTTGCCTACCTCCGCTGCCTCCTCCCCCCACCCCCCCCCCCCCCCCCCCCCCCCCCCCCCCCCCATAGGGTTTAGGGTTTATAGGGTTTAGGGTTTAGGGTTTAGGGTTTAGGGTTTAGGGTTTAGGGTTTAGGGTTTAGGGTTTAGGGGGTTTAGGGTTTAGGGTTTAGGGTTAGGGTTTAGGGTTTAGGGTAACCTTGGGATGCCCTGCCCTGCGGTGCCAGCGTCGGAGGGTTCAGGCGAGAGTTCGTCGGCTCTGGCTATGTTTTAGACATGACTTATCCTTCTACAAATTGAGGTGGACAACTCCGGTTTTTTGATGAAGTTACAACTATGATATTTCCTATGTTGAGGGATCCAAAGGGTGGGTGGGTAGATTTTCGATACGAGAGTCACGAGCTTGACTAGTGAATGCTCGGACTTGAGATGCGACCTAAACCCTAAACCCTAAACCCTAAACCCTAAACCCTAACCCCCCTAAACCCTAAACCCTAAACCCTAAACCCTAAACCCGAAACCCAAGCCCGAAAATCCCTTCCGGAACCTGCGCGGACTCCACGGGCCAAATGCTCTTGGCCACCGCTTTGAACTGGCGCCCTGACCTGGGGGTTTCTCCCTACAATAGGCCCCCGAATAGTAGGATCCCCTTATCGTAAGGACCCCAATAAGGCACCCTTAGTTTCGGACACTATGGAAAGGCTTCCATGGTTCCGGGGCTTAAGGTTTAGGAGTTCAGGGTTCAGGATTGTTATTCGGTTTCAAGGGTTTGGGGTTTAGAGTTCAGGATTCAGGGTTTTTTTAGGTTTTGGGGTTTAGTTTCGGGTTCAGGGTTCTAATCGGTTTGGGGGACCCTGCTAATTGGGGGTCTGTATTAGGGTTCCCTTATTTTCGCAAACCCCCATTTCGGGTTCCAGGCTTAGAGGTCTGGGTTGCTCTCTTATCCCAACACCCGAAAGTGCCGCGAAAAAGCCCGCCAGAGTGGTTTCCGAGCGGCTTCCGTAGCTCCTCCTTGTTGAAGGCATCCATGTCCTCACCCACCCACCCCCTGAACCCCATGATTGTGTGTCGAGCGAACCCTACATGGCCCTATACTAAAACCCTTGACGCTTGGTGGCCTGTTGTTTTTGTTGAGGGAAGGGGGGGGGGGGGGGGTGGGATTGAAAACCACTACCAAGCAGCACGTGGGACTCACTCAGGCAGTAGGGTTTAGGGTTTAAGGTTCAGGGTTTAGGGCAAGCGCCTCGGAGTTCGCATCAGTTTATCTGGGTTTAGGATTTAGGGTTTGGAGTTTGGGGCTTCGGGTTCTGGCGTTTTCCTCCTGGGCCAAGGAGGTCATCCGAAGAGATGTGGCGGACGGAAGGGGGAGGCTCCCCTTTCAACTTTTGGGGCACGAAAAGGCCTCTAGGTGACCCAGTAAGAAGGGAAACCTTTATAATCTGTTGGAAGCTCTTTAGGGTTATTTAACGAACCACCACCCCCCCCAAAAAAAAAATAATTCTGGGGTTGGGTCTGAACAAAAATTCTACCCTAAAGCCTACATGGGTCGCAATCATGCACTTTGTGGAGGCATGATCCGGAGGCCGTGAAAGGAGTAGCGTCTTTGGATTTGCTTTGGGGGGGTTGGTTTGTACATGTCCTTAATAAGAAATCGATGCTATCGGCTGGCTCTGCAGATCAAGATTTCTGAGTCTGGCGCTTACTCCGCGCTGCTGAAGCCCTCTGTGTGCAGGAAGAGCGATTTTGTCTCAACCAATTAAGGCACTGCCTCTGACTAAGTGGTTGATGAAGTTAGATGCTCTCAGCTGTCTCTGATCGATTGCAAAAGGTTGCTCGCGGCAAGAGTAATGATCACATTTTGGTGCATGTATTCTAGAATCCTAGAACGATTCCTCTAGTCGCACCCCCTTTAGTGAGTAGGACGCGGTAAGCAATTTGCAAGCTGATCGAAAACGATGTACAGACATAAATTCAAAAACACTGGAAAACTTCAAATTCTGCCAGTCCCGCTCTTCTTGTTTCTTTGGCTTCACACGCTGTTCTGTCCCGGGTCTTCTTTTTGTGTCTTCTCTGCCAGAGCGCAGAAAACAGCACTGCGTCCATGCGACAAACTCAGCGCCCGTAAACCATCTGCTAGTCGGCGCCGCTCTCTTACTCCCTCTCTCTCCCTCCCTCTCTCACCTCTCTCTCTCTCACCTCTCTCTCTCACTTCTCTCTCTCTCTCTCTCTCTCTCTCTCTCTCTCTCTCTCCTCTCTCTCCTCTCTCTCTCTCTCTCTCTCTCTCTCTCTCTCTCTCTCTCTCTCTCTCTCTCTCTCTCTCTCGCTCTCTCTCTGCCTCTCTCCCTTCACTCTCCTCCCTTCTCTCTTCTCCCTTCTCTCTCCTCCCTTCTCTCTCCTCCCTTCTCTCTCCTCCCTTCTCTCTCCTCCCTTCTCTCTCCTCCCTTCTCTCTCCTCCCTTCTCTCTCTCCTCCCTTCTCTCTCCTCCCTTCCCTTCTCCCCTCCCTTTTCTCTCCTCCTTTCTCTCCTCCCTTCTCTCCCCCCTTCTCTCCCCTTCTCTCTCCTTCTCTCTCTCTCTCTCCCTCCCCCCTTCTCTCCCCCCTTCTCTCCCCCCTTCTCTCTTTCTCTCCACCCTTCTCCCGCACCCCTTCTCTCCCTTCTTCTCTCCCTTCTTCTCTCCCTTCTTCTCTCCCTTCTTCTCTCCCTTCTTCTCTCCCTTCTTCTCTCCCTTCTTCTCTCCCTTCTTCTCTCCCTTCTTTTCTCCCTTCTTCTCTCCCTTCTTTTCTCCCTTCTTCTCTCCCTTCTTCTCTCCCTTCTTCTCTCCCTTCTTCTCTCCCTTCTTCTCTCCCTCTCTCCCTCTCGCCCTCTCCCTCTCCTCTCTCCCTTCCCTCTCTGCAACATATTTGGGCGGGCGACCACGCCCACCAAGCTCGACTGGAGAGACAAAAGCATTTGGGCACAGAAAACGAGAATACATGATTCTCAGAAGGCACTGCTTTTGGCGGGACGCGCAACTTAAGCTTGAGCTTAACCGCCGCATCCATCACCCATTGCAGCGCCAAGGCCTATGGCACCGGGCCGACTCACCCCCTGAGTGAAGGCTAGAGATTTAGATAAAAGAAAAAGACAAAGCCGCGACTTGCGTAAGTAGGTATAGGGATCAGGCCCTAGTGAGATGTGGTGCTGCGTGTAGCGCTGCCCCCTAGCGTGGCCCGGAGACCAGGAAAATCGGAAAAGCCAAAAAGAGGACTTGGGGTCCTGGGAGACATCTGTTGAGCTCTAAGCGGAAAAATGTGTGGTTCGCCTAAACTGTACCGCAAGCAAAGAGACTACGGACACCGAAAGTTTGACCTGACTGCCTCTGGATGAACGCGGTGTTCTACGAACTCCGCCGAACCCCACGTTTAGGCGAAACACTTGAAAGTCGGCCTGTCGCGCAGGCCGCTTAGCTGCCCCAGTCTTGGAGGCACATCCCAGATCCGCAGCCCCTAAAGTCAGTTACTGTACGACGCCCTGCCCTACACCTAGTATTGCCCACTGCCTGCCCCAAGTACTGGGCCATTCCCACGGTCGAATTCACGTTGTTCAGCGCTGCAGTCCTCTTGGCCTCCGATTCAGACGGGTGTTTTTGGGTCTTCATCAGCATCATTTTGTGAGGATTGTACGCAGTTTCATGTGGGGTCGGTTTAGTTTCCTAACCTTTACAGCCAACGGCATGCCCTGTCTCATGCATTGCTTTAAGCTTAAACCCTCCAGTGCCTCGCGCTGCACCTCGCGAAGGAAAAATATCGCCTTACTCCAGATTATTTGTCAACCCTGGGCACTTCTGGCCTCCGCCCTGTCTATAGCTTGCAGGACGCCTTCCCAACTACTGGGGGCAACCACCGGCGCAGGCAGATCTCGATTCTCGCGTCTGCCCGCCCTCCCCTTCCCAGCCCCCCGCCCCCTGTCCTTTGCCTCCACCTTGGCCCCGCTTGCCTTTGCAGATGTTGCGATCTAAGAAGGTTCGGGAGGCCATCCCGTCCACAGTTCGGAGCATCGGGCCAGCTATGTGGCTGAGGGCATATGAGACCAGCCCCCCGCGCATAATTAGCCCTAATCCGAAGGAGGTAGTTCGACTGTCCCTCGCGTTGGCGGAAAATGCCTACCACACAGGATGGCAGGAAATAACAACGAGTAGGCCGGCGGCGTTTCCCCGATCAGATGTACGTGGAGCCGCATCATGAACTGGAAAGGCTTTGGAGGGGCTTAAGGCACCTGTCACGGCTCGGCGCGGAGTCAAAACTTAAAGTTACCAAAAAGTCCAGCGTGACCTCCAGAGTCCGCGTAACCTCAAAGTTTCGACATAAGCTCAAGGCTGGGGCATTGGCCAGGACATAGTCTGGTCTTGTGGCCTGGGATTCATCCCATGGCTCCTTTGCACAAAACGTGTTGGCAGGTTTATGATTAGAGAAGTAATCCCCCAAGTCATACCATTTGCTTGAGGCCAAAGCAGATTTTAACGCAGCAGAATTTTCAACCGTGCAATTTGTGTCTGAGCATATCAGCACCGGCTGATCTCCTAGGGAAGCTGCCTGCGCAAGTACCTTGGAGAGCAATCGCTCTTTCTGTGATTTTACGTATCCAGTGCTTCTACCAGAAATGTTATAAAAACTTATTAAACGCAAGAAGCGCTTACCAGCTGCTCCATGTCTCCCAACGGAGGGCGACCCCTTCAACCAAAAACATTGCACACTCAACCCCTTTTGTCCCATCAACCCAATATCACGCTCCCCATCCGAGCTCCCCCTCCTTGTCCTCGCCCCCACCCCGAGCCCGTCCATCAACCGCACACATCCAGGCAGGGTACGCAGCAAAATGTTCCGACCCCCCTTCCTTGACCGCGTCGTCTCCGTCTCCTCTTCGTGGCATCTTTCGCCAACAAGCGATCCGATAGAAAGCCTTCCGCGTTCGCCAAACGACAACCCAATTTCAGAGGTTTTCGGGAAGAAACGGAGAAAACAAAGAGCATGCGCAGAATAGACGCTAAGCGTCCAAGCCACCCCCCCCCCACCCCCCCCCTGCCGCCCCATCCCCTCACCCCAACCCCCACCCCCTTCGTTTTTAAGTTTGACCAACCCCGTCACCGCTTTGCTCTGTTTTCCTTGATTTATTTTGTGGCATGGATCCCTTCGACTTCCTGTTCTTGCTGGCGCTATCCTGCTCTTTCCCCTCTCCTTCCCCTCCTTCCTCTCCTCTCCACTCGTCTGGCAGCTCTTCTCACTCCGGCGACCCCTTCTCTCCCTTCTCCCATCTGCCCTCCTCTCTCTCTCTCTCTCTCTCTCTCTCTCTCTCTCTCTCCTTCTCTGCACCTCTCTCTCTCTCCCTCTCTCTCTCTCTCTCTCTCTCTCTCTCTCTCTGTCTCCTCCTCCCTTGCACATAAAAAGAAACCAATCAACAGACCAGCCTACGCTTGCCCGATGATGTCGAGTGCTTCTGCTGCCGTCTCCCTGATGCCCGCAACATCTTATAAGCCAGAGTTATGCTGCCGGTGCCCCCACAACCTCTCAGATCAAAATTGACGGAATCAATAGTGACCCCCCCCTATTGCTACATTCGACATTTCCGACTCCCCAAAAATATGAAAATATTGATAGCTTCGAGAGGTTACCCTGTGCCCGATGTTATCTAAAGTAAGGCAACTCACCCTAAACCCTAAACCCTGAAGGCCCTAGGGGCCCGCAACCCTACAGTCAGGCAGCCGTAAACCCCTAACCCCTAAACCCTAAGCCCTAGACCCTAAACCCTAAACCCTAAACCTAAACCCTAAACCCTAAACCCCCCAAGTCCAGGCGTCCTCCGTGACACCGTTCAAGTCATCGGCCTTGCCCTCCCTGGGCTCCGATGGACAGTTGCGGATGTAGGGAGTCCAGGGCCCGGGCCCCTAAAACCTTAACCCTTTGAGGTTTTTTTTTTTTTTTTTTTGGGGGGGGGTTAGGGTTTATGGGGTTTAGGGTTCAGGGTTTAGGGTTTAGGGTTCAGGGTTTAGGGCCCCTAAACCCTAAGCTTGAACCATTAACCCTGAACCGTTGGGAGTTTCCGGGGTCCAGCAAAAGTTGATGGTCGCACACCACATGGGTTTAGGGCTCAAGGCTTTGGGCTTAGGGGTTTAGGGGTTTAGGGTTTGGGGTTTAGGGTTTAGGGTTTAGGGCTGCAGGGTTTTAGGGGTTTTAGGGGATCGGCAGCCCGGAGGTCTCTTAGAACTTAGGGCTGCAGAGGGAGATTTTCGTGGGCACATGTGTTGTCGGTGGGTTTGAGATCAGTGGGTTATAGGGTCCTCAGGGGGGCGGGTTGACGGGGGTTTAGGGCTTGGGATTTAGGGTACCTAGGGTATTTGGGGTACCTAAGGTGCCTCGAATACCTTGGGTACCTCGGGTACCTAGGGTACCTGGGGCACTAGGGTGGGAATATTTTGGGCACCTTTGGTTTCATACTCCCACTTGAAACTCCCTCCCGTAAGGACCCTAGAAGTGGGGCACCGAGATGTTCACCCTACTGACCTGTCGAGCGAAGTAGTACTCTGAAGAAGGTGCTCAGGGCTTACTCTTGGGGACCTAAAAAGAGGATTTGTTGAGTTTTTTTTTTTTTTTTTTTGGGGGGGGGGGGGGGCGGGGGAAGGGGCTGGGGTTGTTTTTGTACAATTGTTTAGGAACCATAAGGGAATACTATTTGTACTTATTCCGATCCCTCAACTATACGGTTTGGAGCTTGGGGTTTCTACGGTTGAGGAGCAGCTGCCACTACCGCCAGAAGTACCCAGGACTGGGTCATAGCACAGGCTACCTTACTTACGACCCTATTCAAGGGTAAACCGGTAAACCCCCAAAACCTAAACCCTAAACATCCTCAACAAGGTGCCCAAGCTCCAAACTCCAACAAAAATCCCTAAACCCTGCTCACAGGCACCCATGAGCCTGCAAGTAAACCGTCAACCCGGCTGCCCCACACATTTCGCAACGATGGCGCCCTTTTGGGGGGGTTCGCTACTTTAAGGGAAGCCAGAATCCCAAACAAGGGGCAAACGCCCTAAGCCCTAAGCCCTAAACCCTAAACCTGAAAGGGTGCAGGGTTTAGGGTTTCGGAGTTTAGGGTTTAGGGTGTGGGGTTTGGGGCTTAGGGCCGCCCAGCCGCCAAGTTGAAGCGACACCCTGAACTTGAACACATAATCATAATAACAATAAAAATAACCATCATCATCATCATCATCATCATCATCATCATCATCATCATCATACTGATACTCATACTCATAATAATAATGATAATAATCATAATACTAATAATAATGATAATCTTAGTAGTAAAAATAATAAAACATAATAAAAATAATAAGAATAATAATAATAGTATAATAATAAAAATAATAATAACAATAATAGTGATTAATATAGTAGTAACAAAAATAATAATCATAATCACAATTACAACATAAACAATAACAATAACCCAAATGTTAAGGTTTCCGAACTGCTCACCGAAGCTGCCAAATTCCCTGCTTCTCGTCGAAGGCCTCCGCCAGAGCCTTTTGCAATCTGGGATTTTTAGAGCTTCGAAGGGCTTTTTAGGCTTTTAGTTGTTTTTTTTTTGGGGGGGGGGGGGGGGGGGGGGGAAAAGGGGTTTCTAGGTTTAGGGTTGAGGGTGCCCCCGAGACAGAGAGTTGCGCGCGTTGAGTGCTTAAGCGCCACCGACTCAGGGTCCGAAAAAGCGGGTTTGAGGCTCCTGGCTCCAAGCGTCACGGAGTTTCCACATGACTTTCCAGAAAGGGTTTAGGGGTTTCAGGGTCTGGGGCTCTTGGGGGTTTAGGGGTTTTAGGGGCTTTAGGGGCTCTTAGGGGTTTAGGGGTTTTAGGGGTTTTTGGGGCTTTAGGGGCTTTAGGGGTTTTAGGGGTTTTAGGGGTTTTAGGGGTTTTAGGGGTTTTAGGGGGTTTTAGGGGGTTTT